GAAACAAAAAACCTAATGAGATCATGGTATGTCTAAACTTATCTAGTTCAGTACATTCCAACCAAGAATACAATTGCTATAAAAATATGCTACATATATCTGTGTTATTCTTGTCGTGTTAGCTATTTAGCCTAATAATTGTAACCGAAATGTAAGAATTACTCAGGCTTGACACCATTCAAGTGTGAGTGATTCTTAGCATTTTTTGCGTATACATTATCTGGTAATTCATATCAAGGTTATATCTTTGTTTTGAATACATTTTTTTGGTTTGAAATACTTTTATAGATGGTTATAATCTTGCTGGGTTTTATGTCTATCCAAAAGGAGCTTCTTGGCTTACCTCAATACTCAGCATTCATCAGTTTTTCAATAGTATGGCTTTTGAGTATCACTGTTGTGTGTTTTCATTGGAAGGCTTTCCAGTTTAGCATTATTATGATTACTCTTTAGTTAAACTGCATATGTGTATCTTTTGGTGGTTTGTTTGTGTTATTTGGTGGTTTGTTTGTGTTATTACTTCATTTTTGCTTAGTGCAAACCCATAAAATCATGGATAAGATGAGCGCTAGCCGAAATAAATAGATTATCAGGGAATATATATGACCAGAAAAGCATAAAACATATATACATATTTAGAAAAGTGTTACCATTTTTTGGACCTCGGTTAACTAGCTGTCTTCTTAAGTTACTTATTTGTATGTCAGGTGGTTTTTTTGTGTAAAATTTTTGCGTTATTATGCTTCTCACAAAGTCTCATTCACACATGAGAACACAAATCTGAAAAAATGTGCAAGGATACGATCAAAAAAAGATTATGAACAAAAGTATATAATAAAGAACAAATATTTGATTTACTGATAGAGACTTTTTATGTCTACAGATGTGATGATGTAATGCATTAGTATGTTCCAGTTGGTTATCTAGTATGGTCTTGTTATGTGTTTGTTCACTTTCAAAACAGGTGAATAGAAAGCTAAACACACTCCTTGTGGAATGATGTGCTATGAAGTAAGATTTTAGATCTTTATTAATTAGTATTATTAGTGATAGTTGACATGGA